TTTCTTGGCCTTATCCCAAACAAACAAACAAAAAGAATCAGGCTTCAGAAACGCTAAAAGGCAAATTCTGAGATGCAAGAATATGGTTTAAAATCATCTTTATCTAATGTGAGAACTCAACTTCCATCACCTCAACCAACATTATATTGGTTGCTTCTAGTGTTAGGGGAATTATATTCAACACAGCTGAAGGGAAAATTGATTTCTATCAACACGAAGATGACTTACCGTAACCAAAGGAAACATTCCTAAACCTTAATCTGAAATATCAAACAAGAAATTTCTAAGCATCTGAAACATGTGCATAGAGAGCAGAAGAATGAAAAATATTCATTCGGGGAAAATAACACATGAAAAGTTAGCAACTTAGGCCGTGTTCAGACAACGCTAAGCCATAACATGAATAATTATTTTTGGTTTAGCATGTGGTACAAGCCAACTCATTACAGTTTAACATTACTGGGAAATTTCAGTAGTGGCCACAATAGGATTGGAAATCTGCCATAGCAATGTGGCTTAGCACACAAGTATTGGCATATATACACACTTAGATTTCTCCAATCCTTTCTTAGAGTATCACAGGTAGCTTTTTTAAAAAATCCATTTTGGTCTAACATATCAAATCATGTAACATATAATAGGTAACAGAGTTGGAAGGGATCTTGTAAGTCTTCTAGTCCAATCGCCTGAACAAGCAAGGAGACCCTATACCATTCCAGACAAGCGGCTATCTAGTCTCTTCTTAAAAACTTCCAGTGATGGAACACCCACAATTACTGAAAGCAAGCCATTCCACTGGTTGATTGTTCTCAGTTTAGGAAATTTCTCCTTCATTCTAACTTGCTTCTCTCCTTGGTTAGTTTCCATTCATCTTTTCTTGTCTTGCCTTTTGCTGCTTTGGAAAACAGGTTGAACCCCTCTTCTTTATGACAGTCCCTCAAATATTGGAACTTGCTATCATGTTACCCTTAGTACTTTTTCTCAGTAAACTAATCCAATTCAAATTAAATTCAAATGCTTTTGTTTTGACAAGTAATTCACCTTTTCAAGCTTTTTAATGTAATATCCATACCTTGTTATAACACCATATCCAAATAATTATTTTACTACCCAATTCATTTACATACCTTTCTTCCTAAAACTTATTAAATATCCAAAGCATAACTGATAAAACATGATGTTGATAATCCAGTCATTCAACAAATGTCTTCTTAAAGAGGTTAGTTGGATACTCTAAATACTACCTCTCTGTGCAAGCAGCATATTCAGTTGCCAGGAGTGATGTAATACATTAATTTGCATGCAGTTAATTCCAGTTGTTACTGAAGGCACTTAAGAAATCATTTCTTTCCTCAACTTCCTTAAAATTCTCACATTCCTGCAATTCAATACAATGGGTCCTCTTTTAAATTCAGAAGCATCTAGCAACACAGCAAATGTTTCCAATCAGCTTCATTAATACTCCCATTGTTAGGTTTATATTCAGAAATTAATGTGCACATATTCCCAAACACTGAGCTGTAGAAACAGGTGCTTTTAACAAAGTTGAAAAATTGGGCAGTATTTCGATCCTGCATAACACCAACTGAGTTCCCTCTGTTAATTAGAAGGCGGTATGACAAGGACTACTTTTTGACTATAAATGCTTCCTAAAAGTTTCCTAACAGAGTAAAAGGGCAGGACAAATGAAATGCAGCTAAAGAGAAACTATTTCAGATATTCCTTTTTTCAGTGACAATGTTTTTAAAGGTCTCAAGGTCTGACAGACATTGCAAAGCTTGTCTAAAAGAAAGTAAAAGGTAAGGCTGGTTTATAAAGAAGATGTACAAATTTAGAGACTATTTCAAGTCATAAACCAATCCTCAAACCATTTCAAATAGATCTGAGATATGTACTGTATAATCAGTATATAATATAAGTAACTAAAACTAGATGCTGGGCAAAAGGTATATATTGATTTTACCACTTTTCAGATACATTAACATACATTTAAAGTGTTGTACCTTACATTTTGGGACAACAAATCTTTATGCTCTCATATTTGCAGGAATTGTTTGACTATCAGTAAGAATCTCGATGCAGTGAAAATTAAGGTGTTTCTAATCATACAGTCATATGCATATTTTTTTCATACATAATCCCTTTTACGTGTATTCAGGGAGATTATTCCCAGCAGGTTTTGCTTCCCCCACTTACATTTATCCTAAGAAATGATTGATAATGTTTCATTTCAATCATGAATAAATCAAAACTTATATAGCACCTTAATGATTTCTAACTTAAAACAACAAAAACTAATGGCATTAGTTTTCTATGTATAGGGCATTCTCTTTAGAGAAGTCAGATACATATCATATAAACAAGGAACTAATATAATACATATTGGGAGGGGGGAAGTTAGCTCTTTTTTTCATCAGAATTAAAATCAGGTGCACTATTTCTTTGGAGTCAAATAACCAACATCTTTCCATATATAACAAAGGAACAGTATAAATGTTCCTTACCTATTTACTTAAGGTTGAAATAGTAAAAATCAAAATTATAACAGAGTTCGAAGAGACCTTGGAGGTCTTCTACTCCAACCCCTACTCAGGCAGGAAGCCTTGAAACATTCCAGGAAAAATGTTTGTCTAATCTTTTCTTAAAAATCTCCAATGTTGGAGCACCTACAACTTGTGGAGGCAAGTCTGATTAATTATTCTAAATTGTCAATATGTCTTGTAAAATGCTATCTTTACTGATAACTAATCAGAATATGATTACTAAATGCACATTTAATCTGTTTTTGTAGCATTAGGCAAAATTGCAGCCTATTTTCTATTCAACTGAAAGCAGCAGCAATTTCTCCTATGAGCTGTTCAGAGCATCCAGTAGTGGGAGGTGCTTCAGTCTCTGCATTCGTAGGCTGAGCTTGATTTGTGGAAAGCTCCTCCTCTTCCACGTGACTCCTCAGCATTCCCCAGTTTTTGCTCAACCACGTGAGAGACAGGCAGTGCTTTCAATGCTTCCTCCATCAGAGCAGAACACATCTCGGGTCTGTCAAATACACAGGCAGAAGGGCCACCATAGATCAGTTGGAGTGGCACCTCCACCCCTCCCTGTTTCAAGAAGCGGCACGGACATTTGGTCAGCCAGTGGTGGACCTGTTTGCTTCCCCTCTCAACACTCAGCTCCCGAGATTTTTTTCCAGGTACCCATCGCAAGGCGTGGAGAACTTCAACTCGCTCCACTGTCGTTGGCTCCCGGGGCTCCTATATGCATTCCCTCCACTTCCACTGGTTCCCAAGGTCATCCAGAAATTACTAGACGAGAGGGCGGAACTACTTCTAGTAGCATCTTACTGGCCCAGACGGCCATGGTTTGCAGACCTCCGCAGTCTCTTGGTATCAACCCCTTGAAGAATCCCATCAGACAGAATTTCATTAACTCGGGGGCCCCTTCAACATCCGGACCCTCAATGGTTACAATTGACCATCTGGAGATTGAGCAGAGTGGTTTGAAGAGCGAAAAGTTTTCCAACAGAGTTATCCCCACTATCCTAGCCGCCAGACGTCCCTCGACAATTCGCATCTACAACACCACATGGTCCATTTTCTGTAAATCGTGTACCAAGTTTCAAATTGATCCTACCTCTCCTTCTATGGCTCAGATTCTAGAGTTTTTACAAGAGGGACTTGATAAGATGTTATCACCTAATACATTGAAAAGGCAGGTGGTGGCCTTGGCATCAGTTCTCACTTGTGAAGGCCTAAGTACTCTTTCCCATCCTCCACGCATGCGGTTCTTCCTTCGAGGAGCCACCAATTTACACCCTCCAGCGGTGCACCATTATCCCACCTGGGACCTTAACAAGGTCCTTGTCGCACTCACTAAGGGCCCTTTTGAACCTTTGAAAACGTCAAGCCTCCAATTTCTGACGTACAAAGTAGTCTTCCTTGTAGCGATCACCTCTGCTCGTCATATCTTGGAGATCACAGCCTTGTCTATCAGACAAGATCTCTGTGTTTTCCACGCTGATCGGGTGGTCCTTCGTCCTGATCCCACATTTATACCCAAAATCAATTTGGCTTTTCATGGGGCACAAGAGTTTATACTTCCAAATTTTTGCCCCAGACCATCACAAGGGATGGAAAGACAATGGCATAGGCTTGATGTGAGGTGTGCACTGCGAATTTATATCAATCGTACAGCGGTTTTCAGAAAATCGGAGGCTTTATTTGTGTCCTTTCAGCCCAACACTCAGGGTTACAAGGTCTCACCGTCCACGATAGGCCGTTGGTTATGGGCTGCAATAGCAAAAGCGTATCAGTCTCAATCCCTGCAAGTGCCTAGGGGCATAACAACTCATTTAACACGGAGCGCTGCAACCTCGGCAGCATGGGCCACTCAGGCACCAATAACTGAAATTTGTCGACCCGCAATTTGGGCTTCCCCATCGCCATTCATTAGACATTATATAATTGATGTGTTTGCCTCTGCTGAGGCTTCCTTTGGCAGAAGAGTTCTGCAACAGGTCCACAGGGACCAGGGGGAGATTCCAGACCAGACGGAGTCCCTCCCGTAGGACAGGCCAAGCTTTGGTATGTCCCACTACTGGATGCTCTGAACAGCTCATAGGAGAAAGGACGTTGGTACTTACCTGACACGCCCATTCTCTTTGAGCTGTGAAGAGCATCCAGCCCCACCCTTTTCCATCTGGTGGGGTCCTGTTTCGGCCAATGAATTCTTAGGGCATGAGGATGAGGGTGCTTATTTCTCTTGTCTTCACCAAAACTGTGGAACACTGAGGAAGAGTCACATGGAGGAGGAGGAGCGTTCCACAAATCAAGCTTAGCCTACAAATGCGGAGACTGAAGCACCTCCCACTACTGGATGCTCTTCACAGCTCAAAGAGAACGGGCGTGTCAGGTAAGTACCAACGGCCTTTTTCCCTAGTGTCTATGACTTTTGATCACACAGCATGTTTGTGTGTGCTGATGTGCTCCTACACATCTTTATAGTGTGTGTGTATGTGTGTATGTGTGTATGTGTGTGTAAAATCTGCAATTTATTTAAAAATGCAAAGTGCATCCCATGAAGTTCACAAGATATTTTATTCAACCTTGAATTAGACCTTTTTGTTTAGCAACAAACAAGAACACTGGAGTGCAGCCATAGCTTCTTTAAAAGAAGTCTAAAAGGCTGGGCAAGAAGCACTTGTGGAAATACAGTTGATGCTAGACCTGTGTTAAATGACCAAGAAAGATGACCATGGAGTTAATGGAATGTTGCCTGCTCACACCTAAACTAAGGGTTCTTTGGTTTAATTTTCACCTTGCAGAGTAGAACTAGGCAAATTCTACCTTCTCAACCTGAGTTCTTCCTCCTCCATCTGTACTGCTTTGCAACTGTGTGTTTATATTCTTTAAGAACTGAGGGAAAACATTATGTAAAGGCTACATCTAATTAGTGAGGCAACTTTATTTGAAATCAAGCTTAGCAAAAAGTATGTGCTTGCCCAGAAAGAGATCGCAAAACAGTAAACAACATTGTTTTTATAAGCCTGGGCTAGAACAGCCGCCAAATCTTTTTTTCCCCCACTCAGAAGAACATTTTTGCATATCAATAGACTCATCCTGTATTAACAGACCTTTAAAAGATAAATCCAAATTTAAGTAAAGAAGGACAGAACTGTTGTCACTATAATGTGCTGGGAGATACTTTATGGTCCCAAAATATCCTGGAATCAATGTGTATGTACTGACATTCTTGGAAAACAGACACCATTAAAATATTAATGAAAATTGAATATTTACATTCACGTTTCCTTTCAGATCTGCAGATATTCGAAAGTCTGAGGCACACAAAATTGTGGGCTTCATTAATTATGGTTCAGATTAATTATGAATCAAATAAGCGACAATTAAGAAATATTTTGAACTCCTTCTATTTTTCTACTTATACGGTAATAAGACCTGTTCTTATCCCCTTTGGCTAATTCTGCAGAGGGAGATATTTAATTTAGGTTGAGAAACTATTCTACTTTTAAGATTTAACCATAATTAAAAGAAGTTAATTAATACAAATCTAAAGACAGTGTCCTAATAGATACCAATAGTAACCGCTTTATCATTAATATTTTTTTAGTATGTTGTAAAGGAAGCCAATGTTTATTCAATAACAAAACCCAGTTTAAAGCTATCTGTGAACCCAAAGGAGCTCAATACACAAAATAAATCCATCAAAATTTTAAAAACTAATTTTAGATTAAAATATATATTTCTGCTAGTAACTGCTTGCTAATAATGGTTATTAATGCTATTTTTTAATTCCTTTTGATAAAGTACTCAGATAATTCTGAGTTATTTTAGTATGGTTTTTCCTGTTAAGACTTGCACTTGAAATTAGCAATTTTTTGTTATATTTTTTTTAAAACTCCACATAATCTAAAAATTTGGAAATTAAATTCTATCTGAAACGGAAGCTGCTTAATATTTTAATTTTCAAAATTCTAGGTGATGAAAATAATAAAGAATTGCTACTAGTAAGAACCTAAATAGTTGCATAGCAGAATTTATTAGGAATGGTGGAGCTTTGGCAAGGAAAACTAATAATTCTAATAATAGACCTTTACTTCAACCCTGAAGGGGAAAAAAAGTCTTATTAGCTGCTATTCACAACTAACATTTCCAAAGTCTTAAATTCTTTTTCCACATTTGGTATGAATGAACCAAATTGATACATGCCTAATCTGAATTCTGTGATATGAATATTCTGTATATTTCAAGCAGGCTCCAAAAATAGGGCATTAAATATATTCTGCATTCTTATACTTGAGGCAAAGACCAAAAATAGGATTTTAAATAGATTCGGTATATATTCAGTACTCAACCTCCCCTTAACTAAAGCTTTTTTTTTTTGCTTCAACCATTTGAAAATCATACTTAAATATTCCCAAATTGGATTTGTCTTCAGGTATTTTAGTAATGCTTAAGAGCTTTCCTTTTACAGCAAAACAAATTTGGGTGGCCATGAGGGGGAAATCAAACACATATAAAGTCCATAGTTTATTTTTACATAGGCACTGAGAAGGGTAGCTGAAAAAACACATAAAGAATTACCTAATATCCATTCAGCTGATAGTGAAAGAAAACTAAATAAATAAAACAATACATCCCAAGTAAGATGTTGTACTTCCAGTACTCAGTGGATCCACATATTTATATAAGCAATCTATACAATTTTGATTCATATCATCATGCGCCAATCTTTCATTCTGGTGATATTATCTGCCAATAAATATGTTTATTGCAAGGATGATTTTATTTGTCTGTTTATTTTTTATGGAAGTTCTTCAAAGCAATCAATGAATGCAGGTTCTGTGCTATCAGGAGAAACATGTGTTAAATCCATAATCTTTTAATTTTCTAGAAAGATTTTTTTTCTATTTTGTGGATAGAAAAAAACATCTCCTTGTATATTGAACAAAAAATCATGAAAGAGAATTAAAAAGCAAGTTATGAACAGTCACAATCATTTAATTCTTTAGTTCTCTAGAAGCGGAAGAGACCCAGGCAAGAAATGGCCAGAGTTTTTAAAGACTTTTCCCCCCACCTCAAAATCAGAAAATTTTAATTTACAAAGCAAGGAAAGGTGATAAGTGTTCAAATATTACATTGTGAAAATTCCTGTCTCTGGAGTCCAATGGTCTTTTGGAAATCTTATTTAGGTAGACATTAGTTTTTCAGGCAATATAAAAGGTACTTGAAATTGTCTATTATAAACATACATAAACATAAACAACCATTTTTTTCAGTCTTGTTTTTTTTTTTAAAATAATGTGCAGTTTTAATAGTGGCAAATGCAGAATTAAAGGGAGTATATACATTTTTTTTTAAAAAAGTTCATATTTGAAATATGCTTGGATAATGCTTATTTAATGCACTATATGACTGGACCCAATAAGCAAACAGAAAAAAACCCTAGAAGAAATAACAAAAGCTTGTAACAAATGGAATGTACAACTTGGTGCACCAACTGCCTAAACACATTCATACCACATCTTATTCCTCCTTGAATTAAGATGATTTCTTTTGGTGTGTACTTGGTGCTCACTCTACTGTGGCATTTCTCTGAGTTATTTTGAGAATGGGGACTTCACATTTTTAGCAATGACCATGATAGCTAGGGAATTCTGGAAATTGAAGTCCACATATATTGAAATTTCCAGCTTGGAAATGAGCTAGTCAAATTCACAGCATCACCTTGCCATCACATGACGTTTGGTACTATAGATACTAATAGATACTATTGGTATCTATTAGGACACCCTTTTTTCTCTTCATGAAGCCGGGGTGGACATGGCCTGCATATGACGCATCTGGCCTGCAGGCTGTCAGTTTGACACCCCTGAGCTAGAGGATACTGTGTCTTACTTATCATTTTCTTAAATCAAAGGATTCCTTTGAATAAAAATTGACTGGCTCTTGATAACAACAGTATCCATGAAGTTTTCTTGGCAACAGTCAAGCATTTTCATCCTTACTTTCTTCTGTCTTTTGTTTTTCATTTTCCACTTTCTAACCTGTATTACAGCTTTGATAGCCCAATTCAAATATTAAGCCCTGCTTCGCTTTCTCAAAATAAAAAAAAAACATTAGCTATGTTCTGCCATTTACTTAGTGATATTGTGTGTTTGCTTCAAGTCAGTTTTAAATTCTGACAACTGTCTGGACAAGTCAGTGCAGTTCTCTTGGCAACATTTACTGAAGTGGTTTGACTTCTTTTTGGACTAAGTGACTGGCCCAAAGTCAACCAACTGACTTTGTGACTAAGGCAGCACTAGAACTTCCGGTCTCCCAGTTTCTAGATTGGTGCCTTAATCACTACAACAAATTAGTTGTCTATTTATCAATACAACTGTGCTTGGAAAAAAATACCACCAATTGAGGTTATCCTACAGGTGTTACAATATATATTCTGCCTCCATTTAATTTGAAATTCATAGCTATTTCATAAGACCATTTTCTCTGCAACAATGGGCATGTTGTTGAGGAGACAGCAAAATGAATAAGGGTCCACAGCTGATTACACCTAAAGAAAAAGTGCCTGTAAAAGAGTTATTTTTCCCCCTAAGGCTACGATAAAAAACAACAACAACCAAGCAGCAATAAAATGTCAAAACTTTGCCTCCTTAGCTTTTTCAATTTTCAATACAGCCAGACAAGCATCAAATATTATATTTAATCACACTGTGCTTTATTTCTCAGTCTTAGTTTTTATTATTATGATTCCACTTTCATTGTTTCATCCAACAATGGCTTGCTTAACTATACTGTTAATATGTAGAAGGGTAAAGAGATACTTTTCTGTACAAATGTCCAGCCTTCTGGAGTTCTGGATTTTTTAAATTTCAAATGTAACCTCATCTTGCAAAATCATCAGGAATTCCTGACTTAGCACAACCAAATTTAAAGACAAACAAAAATCACAACTACAACTAGTATGGGCAACTTTACAGGCTTGTGCTGTAATTATTACCTGACATTCTCCTTAGGTATGTGGGACATTTTGAAAAGCAAACATCAGAAATGCAGATGAAGGAAGGAAGGAAGGAAGGAAGGAAGGAAGGAAGGAAGGAAGGAAGGAAGGAAGGAAGGAAGGAAGGAA